CCCCCCAGATGCGACCGAGGAGGACCCCGAGCTGCTGGTGGACATGGAGATCTTTGTGGACACGCTACGCAACATGGAGCCCTCGGAGATGCGGAAGGCACCCAAGGCCCCGCGCCAGCCCCGGCCGTCATCACTGGGCCGCTGCACTGCTCTGCCCCCCATCCAGGAGGACCGTGTGGCCCCCCGGGCCCCCATCTCCCTGCCCGATGCCCTGCGCGAGCTGCTGGCGCGGGGCCCAGTGGGGCGGCGGGAGGAGAGCCCTGAGGAGGAGGCGGAGATTGAGAACCCCTACCTGACCCCCGAGGAGCGGGCATCAGCGGGGACCCTCCATGGGGTGCCCGGGGACAGCATGGCTGACGATGGCCGGGCAGAGGGGGACTCACTCCTGGGGACACTGAGGCAGGCGGGAGCAGAGGAAAAGGCCAAACCGTTGGCTGGGGGCTCGGCCAAGCGGAGCGTGCCCTTCCGAGGGAACGTCCTCAAGGGCATGGCGCTGCTCTCCCACTTCTTGGAGCACCGGGCCGTTGCAGCTGATGAGGGCAAGCCCTACTCACGCCTGGACAACAGCGTGCTCTACAGCCGCTTCGTGTCCCCCAGCACCCCCCTGATGGAGCTGCCCGGTAGGGATGGCAGAGGGACGGGCTCGCCCACCCCTGGGGACAACAGGCAAGGTCCTGGGGACCACCCTGGCCCTGAGATGGCCGTGCTGGAAGCCCTGAGTCCTGGCTGTGTCCCTCTTGTCACTGAAGAGCCAGACAGTACCATGAGCCTGTGCCCCGCTGAAGTCCTGGTGAGTGAATCCCACAACATGATGCCCGGGGAGATGCTTGACCCTCCTGGGCATGCGGGGAGGTGGTGGGGTCTGAGCCCTGGAACATCTTTCCCAGGATGTGGCTTGTGCTTCCTATCAGCGGGTGAAAGTCCCTGGTGTGATGGGAGGGTACTGGTGTGGGTGATGGGAGGGTACTGGTGTGGGTGATGGGGTATACTGGTGTGGGTGATGGGAGGGTACTGGGATGGGTGACAGGAGGGCACCAGGGCGGGTGACAGGAGGGCACCAGGTCAAGTGATGGGAGGGTGCCACCACAGAGGGTGGGAGGGTCCCGGGGCGGGTGACAGGAGGGTCCCGGGGCAGGTGGGGCGGCCGATCCCCAGCAGTGCAGGAATGCTCGAGGTGTGGCTGCTCGGGGCGGTGGGAGGGTTTGGCAGACACAAGACGCGAGGCTGCGGCTGCGGATTCCTTGGGCTGCGAGGAGATGGCTGGTGCAGGTGACATCCCTCCGTGCTCCTCACACGCCTGTCCCCTCGGGTCTTCACAGCAGGAGGACAAGGAGGGCTTCGAGAAAATCAACACGAGACCTGGCAAGGTACAGGGAGCGGAGCGGGGCCGGGGCACGGTGTGGGGTGTGGTGCAGCGTGGCAGCACCTCCAGACAGGATCTGTCACCCCCTCCCAGATCATCCTCTTCTCCGAGGCCGGCTTCGCAGGTCAGAAACGAGAGATCTGGGGTGATGTCCCCGACGCCACGTCCTGGGAGCTCTCGCACACCATCTCCATCCGGGTCATCCGAGGCGGGTAGGGGATGGCAGCAGGGCGAGGACACATGGCGAGGACGCTCGGGGAGGGCTCGGCCGGGGCTCGTGCGCTCCCCGTGCCGGGGCTGGCGGCCAGATCCCAGCCTGGGGTTCAGGAGTGACCGTCCCGCCGGTGCTAATTACTGCGGCTGCGATCCAGCATCGTGGCGGTGGCAGGACGTCCCCACCCACCGCACTCTGCCCAGAGGCTCTTGACAGCTGCGGGTAAAAGTAGGATTTTTCCCCTCCCTTCCTCCTTTTGTCCCACCCGGCTCCCAGGTGGGTGATGTACGAGAAGCCGCGGTTTCACGGGCGCAAGTGCGTGCTGGCCGAGGGGGACGTGGAGATCGACAACCCCTGGACGGCGTACGGGCAGCAGGGGCAGCCCCGCGGCAGCCACCCCTTCCGCATCGGCTCCTTCAAGAGGGTGGTGCGGGTGAGCGCAGGGACCCCTCTGAGCCTCCCGCTCTCCCCTACATCTCCCAGCACCCTCCAAGTGGGAGGTGCCGGACCCCCGTGACGCTGCTCTGCCCCGCGCCAGGATTACCGCACCCCCGAGATCAGCCTGTTTGCGGAGGAGAACGGCGAAGGCGAGAGGCTGAAGTTCACTGACTCGGCCGAGGACACCCGCACACGGGGCCAGGCGCTCACTGCTGCCTCCATCATCGTCCACTCGGGCCTGTGCGTGGGACCGTGGGGCCGGGTGGGTGCTGGGTGGGCTCCAGCACAGGCTGGAGTGGGGTGTGATGCTTTCATCCTCTTCCTCAGGTGGCTGGTTTACTCCAAGCCTTTCTTCGACGATGACCCCTATGTTTTGGAGCCAGGCGGGTACCCCAGTTTAAAGGCTTGGGGAGCAAAGGACCCATCCATCTGCTCCATGCACCCCATCAGGCTGGTGAGTGCCGGTTGCGCGGTCACTGGGGTGCCAGGGCCGTATCCAGCCCTGGGTGTGACAGGCCAGAGCATCTCCTGGCACCTCCCAGTTCCCAGCACTGCGAGCTTGGTCTGGAAATGTGCCCAGCGCGGCTCTGGAAAGTGCTCCTGTGGGTTAGTGGTGAAGGAAACTGGATAGTTTGAGGAGGAGGAGGCTGAGGGGAGCCCTCATCCCTCTCTGCAGCTCCTGACAGGACATTGCAGAGAGGCCGGGGCTGGGCTCTGCTCCCAGGGGATCAGGGACAGGACAAGAGGGAACGGCTGGAAACTGCCCCAGGGGAGGGTCAGGCTGGGCAGGAGGAGAGAATGTTTCCCAGAAAGAGTGGTCCGAGAGTGGAACAGGCTGCCCAGGGACGGGGGGGAGTCCCCACCCCGGGTGTGTTTAAGGGCCGTTGGGATGAGCTGTTGGGGATGTGGGGTAGGGGAGAACTTTGTAGAGTCGGGCTGAGGGTTGGACTCGCTGATCCCAAGGGGCTTTTCCAACCTGAACGATTCAGTCATTCTGTGTGATTCTGTGAAAGCAATAAAACAAGTCTAGGAGAGCTTGTTCTTGAATGAAAATGACCCAAGAACCAGCTCAGGCTTTAAAGGGGGGAATCAGATGTCCCCACACTTGTCCCCTCCTGCCGTCGCAGCCTCACTGGGGCTCCTTCTCCTTCCAGGGTTGCCCAGTCGTGGAGAGACCCGGCGAGCCGCAGGTGAGCGCCGGGTGAGCCCCCGGGGAGGCCGTGGAGCCGGGACAGCCGTGGGACCACGCTCACCCTGCCGTGTCCCCAGGTGCTGCTCTACGAGGCCGCAGGTTTCCAGGGCCGCAGCTTCACCATCAGCCGAGACATCTACGACCTGAAGTGCCTGCCTGGGCCAGCGCTGCCCACCGTGGGCTCCCTGCACGTCCTGGGTGGCTGGTGAGTGGCACGGGGCAGGCAGGGCCGGCATCCCGGCTGGAGCAGGCTGGGAAGGTGACAGTCACCCCCGGGAAAGGGTTGGGAGGAGCTGCCCAGGGCTGTGGGATGGCTGGAGGCAGCTTGGGGGACAGGGTGGCACTGGAGCAATGTGGATGGCGTCCCCGTGTCCTGGCACATGGAAATCCGCCAGAGAACTCACTGCCCATGTCTGCTTGTGTCGCAGCTGGGTTGGCTATGAGAAGGAGGGCTTCCGTGGCCACCAGTATCTGCTGGAGGAAGGGGAGTACCAGGACTGGAGGCAGTGGGGCGGCTACAACAAGGAGCTGGTGTCCTTACGGCTGATACGGACGGTGAGGGCAGGGGTGGTGACATTGCTTGGGGATGGACCCAGTGTGGGCAGGGAGAGTTGGCCCCCCCCGGTCCCATCCTCATCCCCCAGAAAGGAGCCCTCCCTGCCTGCGGCAGGCAGCTGGACATGGCCTGAGACTCCCCAAACTCATCACAGGCAGATGTGTAGGTGCCCGGAGCTGCTCCCACCCTCCCTGGGGTCCCTAAGGCCTGGCAGGACCCTAGCTGTGTGTGTGGAGAGCACCTGGCCCACACTTCTTCCCCCTGACAGACCGAGGGGCTCGGGTGGGGGGGCGTTCCTTCTCCCTGCAGGACTTCTCCGACCCGGCTCTGGTCCTCTTTGAGGCCATGGACTTCGAGGAGGGTCCGAGCGTGGAGCTGAGCGAGGCACTCCCCGACACGCAGCTGGCCGGCTACGGCACCATCACCCAGTCCATCCACGTGCTGAGCGGCGTGTGAGTGCGGGGACGGGGGAGAGGGGGGACAG